AATTTTACCTTGTCTTTCTGGGAACCGGCCAGCTGCCCCAGGACCCGGTCTTCCCGCTGCCAGTGGCACTGGGGACAGATGCAGAATTACTGGGGCGCTCAGCTGGGCGATGCCCTCCATCCCCTCTCCCACCCCAAGCACTGGTACCATTCAAAGCAGGGGGGTCCCGGCCCATGGCAGAGCATCGGGGTGTCGTCCCCCCCGGGACTAAGCATCCTGGCCGCATCCCCATCGCGTCCTACCTGGGGGTGCTGCTGGCCCGGGACCAGGAGCGGGGCTGGCAGCGGCTGGCAGGGGTGGCCGCGGGGCTTGCAGGGAGTTGGTCCGCTTCACGCCTGCAAGGGGAGAGGAGAATCAGCAAGGGCTTTTTGGGCCCCGGGGGCTTTGCCTGTGTCGAGGAGGGGGTTACAGCTGCAATCGGCCAGGGAAGGGCAGCCGGAGGCAGCTGAGAGGAGAGAGGTTTGGCCAACGGACGGAGGTGGCTGAGGTAACGGCTCAGCCCCGCAGGTTTTTGGGGTCAGCGCTGCGGGGAGCGGGTGCAGCCCGGGGTGGAGCAGGGAGCGTTTCACTAGGGGGACCCCGTGCTGCGCCAATCCGCCTGCAAAAAAGGAGGGAGACGCAGGAGACGTGGAACAAGGAAGATGGATGTGGGGGGTGGCCGGGTGCTGGAAAGCAAACAAACCCAGGAGCATCGCTGCGATGCCTGTCACACCCCCGTCCCCCTGCACGCCCGACTGGCAGCAACGCCCCAGGACCACTGCTGCATAGTGTCCCCCGAGACAGCAATGGGACACGGGTGCACCCTCAAGGGTTATCCACCCAAACATGAATTAAAACACCAACTCCCCATGGCAGAAGCCCAGGCAGCCCTGAACACCCCTCTCCAGCTATTATTACCTATCCTGCCATTGAACATTCCTTTCTTCCCCAAGGAATTAAGGAGGACTTGGATATTTTTCAGAAATTTTTAGCTTCACCAATTAAATTTGCAAGCTCAGCTCCTAGATGAAAAGTGATCTCTGCAAGTGCCCTTCCCCTTCTGGAGGCACCTGGGCAGGATCGAGGCCCTGCGGAACGCTGTCAGCCACCCGTTCGTATCACAGGCATTTATAATAGCTTGGAGCACATCAAGTTTTCATGAAACAAGAAATGACATCCCCAGCCAGGCCCCCGCCAGTGAAGCACGGGCTCCCATAGGCAGGGCTGGCCCATGCCTACTTCTTCGGCATCACCTTGTGGGGCACATGCCCACCCCGGCAGTGAGGTGGGGGCATAGCAGTATGAAAAATGCTTCTACTTAGGGTCCCAACTTGGCTGCATTTCTGCTTAATCTCTGCTTAAAATTAGCCTGGTAAGTGCTGAGCCCACTCCTCTCTTCACTTACCGCTCTTTCATCATGCATGGGGCTTTTCAAATTCATGTCCTTTCATGGGCCATAAGATGCCCCTTTTCAGGGAAAAGCACAGCAGGATCCTGCCTCTCCCCCCTGCACGCAGGGGAAGGGACCGCAATTCCCCTTCACACCTCCCCCCAGTCCCACTAACACCCCAGACCTCCCCATCAGCAAGCGGCACGGGAAGCTGGCACCGGTGCTCTGCGACGCGAAATCCCTCAGCATCACTTAGTGCTGCACGTCAAGCAGAGACAACCCTCGTATGGCTGCCGGCTTCGTGCCCCCCAGCCCTCTCCTTCCAAACACGCAGAAGCGTGCACTAGCATGCAGAAGTGCAGCTCTCACCAGGGCTCCTGCTGACCCCGCTGTGGGCAGCGTAGT